AGGGAAAGTAGATACATGGCATAAGTGAGGTCATAAGTATCAAGACTGGTTCAAAACATTTCAAAATGTCATGCTAACAGGATATTAAGGGAAGCTTTTAAAGCCATCATGGACAGGGCTTGATTAATGTCAGAGCTAGAATCCACACCACACACAAGTTTGACATGGACTGAGAAAAGTCACTTTCCTCACATCTAATATATCCAGGAATTTCAGCTGTGAAGGCTACAATAGGGTTAGCATGATGCCACTTTCTCTGATTTGGAATGAGTTCATTGACTAAACAAATTATTAGAGAGTAAGTGCAAGCTGCTGCACTACTTTATCATGCTGAATTCACTTTTAGAAAGAGTCTTAATAAGGCTGAAGGAGAGGCAGCAGCATTTGAGATATTAAAAACCAGTCTAGCACCAAGCAACTCCCAAAGACTAATTCCGTAACTGCCCTTTGGTGGACGTTTTGGGGAGCAAAGAGAGGGGAAAAAAAAAAAAAAAAAAAAAAGAAAGAAAATCACAGTATACTGCAATGAAAGTCACAAATGCCTGACACCCTGGATAGGTAAGAAAACATCTTCGTTTCCTGAAGCTACACACGGTTGAGATGTGAGTTAAGACCAACAATTTCAAACACGAGGACAACATTCTACCCCTTACAGTGTTTATGTGAACGTCGCACTCCAACATACTGGGGACCGTATATTATCAGGGTACTTTTGAAAAGCAGTCACCCTAAACAGTACACTACCTTCTTGATCCTGCCAACAGTCCAATAACATGTATGTTCAGTGCAGCACTACACTTCAGGAGTATTTTTAAGTGCCCTCGAAACAAAAGCCTCTTCTACAGCTCTTGTCAGCTGTGCGAATGAACTCCCCTCATCTGCCTCACAATGTGGTGAAAGGTTACTCCAAAAGAAGATATAAAAGAACATACCTCACCAAAGGGGTCCAGGAATTAGACTTTTTGCAGTGCTTTGAAGGCATAGCAAACTGAGGTTGGAAGTTTTCCCAGGCTGAAACGTGTATCTTATCTTTCTCTATCTTTCTGCAGCACTTGCAGGTGTTCTTAGCTGGCCTAATTCTGCTCCTTCTGAAATCAGTGAAAACTACTTCCTGGGGACCACCAAAGCCAACATTAAATGCCTTGACAAAGCTTTGCACTAAGTGTACAACAACCTCAAATTCACTCTCAGCCAGATTCAGTTCCCCATCCCCAGTAAGCATAACACAGCCATTGAAAAAAACAAAAAGAAAAAAAAAAGAAAAAACAACACCCCAGATTTTAAATGTATTCAACCTTGCATCCTTTCCTTCTGTAAAGCAAGTCAGATTTTTTAAACTAAATGCATATTCTAATTCTGAGATGCTTGCACTCTCAATATATTAAAAGTGTACCAAACTGAAATGACAATGCAGAAAAAATGTGATCTCATTTGTATGACTGCGTATTTACTGTTTCAGAATTCTGCAGAGTCTTACACACAGAATTAGAGAGCATTTAGTTTTTAAACTAAATTTCTTGGCCTAGCAAAGTGAAAACTGATGTTCGTGACTTCTAGGCAGGTACTTCTACAACTTCAAAATAGTCATTGGGCAGAATCACATAGCCTTTTCCTGCCAATATGTCTTTTTCTTTCTGAAACTGAACAATCTCTCTCAGTTTTTCAATTTGTCTTTCCTGACGCCGGCATCGCTGTTGCGCTGTCTTGAGCTTCTTCCGCAGTTTTTCAACTTGTTCCTCCAGCTGCTGAATTCTTTTTCGCTGATGAACTGTATCCTCTACGGTATAGTTGTGATCACAAAAAACAGCAAGATTGCTAGGGGTTTGGAGAGGAGGCATCAATAATCCAATACTTGGATCTACAAATCTGGCATCTATTTGAGACAAATGAAAAGAAGGAGTTGATGGAGATGGCGGTAGTACTGGAGCTGCTGGTGGTGGTGGTGGTGGTGGTGGTGGTGGTGGCGGCGGCGGTGGAGGAGGTGGAAGTGGATCTTCTGGCTGTTCTGCAAATTCTTCAGGCTAGAAACAACAAGAAAAAAAAAGTACATTTTCATGCTTAACATTGTTTACAACACAACTCCCTTACTACAGCCCCAGAATAACATAAACAATCAGAATTGAAATTAATAAAATAAATTTCAGAGCCTACATTTTCAAAATTGACAAACGGTTCTGGGCCTGTTTTGTCTGGCTTCTCAGCTGGAGATATTTTTAAGCAGCTTCGTTTTCAGGGCTCTTTGAAACTCAAGTCCTTGATGTCTCACAGAAATCAAAACCTGAAGAATGTAGCAATTACTCTCACTTGAAGACTTGCATCAAATACATATCCACGATTAGCTAAGAAGCAGGAACGCAGGCTGCACTTCCATAAAACTCATCACTGCCATCCCATCCCCACTTTGTCCCTCCTTCTTTCTGCTGCACCTTACCATTATATACTTTGAACCTATCAGCTAACTTAATGAAAAACAGCAGATAATCTTCTGCTGAGGTAGAATAAGGGTCACCTACTGAGGGGGCTGATAAGCCGGCAGAGCAGAGAAGTAGACACAGCAAGGCCTGCCTCTCAACAACTGGAGGGGACTGTGTCACTGGTTTCGGACTGCAGCATAAGGGTTTGGTTTCAAGAGACGTGATGAGCCAAAATAAGCAATTCTTCAATAGCAAAGCAGCCCTCCCAGCCCTGGTATTTACTCTTTGCTCAAACATAGTAAGTTGCTGAGATGACGGAAAGCTATTCGCTCTCCCACCATCGCTGCAGAAATCTTCTGCCCTTTATTGAAAGTCAAAACAATGCAAAACGAGGTGTGACCTACACCTGCACTGGTGTGTGGATGGAGTGAGAAACAGGACTGCATGGCTGGCAGATGGGATGGAGAAGGGAGAAGCACGATTCTCCCTTTTGGCAGCAGCAGAATATTGATTGGCTCAACTCCACACGAAACTGAAGTCTTTATCATACTGCTCTAGATAGGTTCACTTGTACGGTTCAGGACAACACAGATCCCTCACCACTTCAGTATAGGCCAGAGCAGAGAAACAGATTCTTTCTGCCCCAAAGGAATGCAGTGTAATTCAGAAATGCTTCTGTGCATATGATGATAAAAAAAAGCACTGTTTAAACAAAAGAGCTTGCATATCGCCTGTCAAAAAAAAAGCCTAAGACATTCTCAGTGAAAGAGGCACCGAACCAATTTTTTAACTACCCACCTGTTGCCAATATTATTACTACACATAAAAGCATAAGGACAGGGACAATGTTAACTATACGAGCAGTTGACAATCCTCATCTTCTAAATATCAAGCTCCTCAGATCTGAAGGTCATGTCATTAACTTCCTTGACTTAACATGCAATCAAGCTAATATTTGATATTGGGGGGTCTAGATATCCCTCTTGTCCAAACTACAACACTTGGCAGACAGTAACTGAGAAGGCGGCTTTGTGATTGGTGCTGAAGGGAAGTTTCATATGCACTCAAATATCACTGATCACTTTAAAGTACAAAACCAGCCAACTACCACTCTTATTTCTCAATTACAAGAAATCGCCGCTAACAGTGTGCCCATCTAATTCACACATGAATATTCTAAAGAGTTTGACCCTATCAGCTATCACTTTCAAACTTTTCTACTAAAAAACCTACAAGGTAAAGATGTAATTGGCAAAGAGAAATTCACCCTTGTTGGAAGCAGAAGAAAAATCAGATCATTGCTGGACAGCTGATTTCACACAGAGACTTCTATTTGCAGCTTCTCCAGCACATGCCACCTCTAAAATACGTTATGATTGTCACAACGTATCATGGAGAACGGATCGTTGGTATCACTGACACATCGTAAGTGAATTCTAATTACTTCTTCCAGCCAATAAATGGTTCTCCAAAGACAAAAGTAAAGAAAAAGAAAGTATTTCAAATTACATAATGCAAAAGACAAAAAGCTGTATTTCAAAATCAATGTGGATTCAATTCCAAAACAACCAGTACTATTCTTTGTTACTACGTTATTTCTTGAAGATATGTGGCAGTTCATTTAAAAGTGCCGTGAGACAAATAGGAATAGCGCTAAATCTTTCTCCATAATTAAAAGGGATCCTTTCGTGGTTTTGTAGATCCAGACATGATAATGAAATGGGGAATGTGGCTCACCATTAATCCCGCTGCACCAATCGCACCTTTGCAGATTACCCTATACACCCATTCAGCTTTCAGACTGAAAATTTTGACGTATTTCACACGTGACAAAGAAAATGTGTGTCATACAGAAAAGCATAATCAAACAAAAACTTAACACAGGTGTATTTACCTGGAAATTGTCTGTCTTTCCGTATATACCTTCTGCTTATATTCTCTTCTCTGTTAGTAGCCACTTTTCATTTTTCAAATACATTCCCTTTTCATTTCTGCATCAAATCCAATATTGTGTATAACAAGAAAAATCAAACAAGCAAAAGTCCCAGTTTTCCTCTGTGCACTTCATCCCATTACAGTCTTTCACCCCCTAGACCTGTCATATCCATTCTCTCCTTTGCCACTTCCTCTACAGCAGAGTGGTAAGAGATCTAATATTTTATATCCTTTATAGGAGCTAAGAATAAATCTCTTCCATCCTTGTCTTGCAGTTATTACCTCAGGAAGGAAGAACTCGTAACTGATTGGCATCTCACAGTCAGCTGCTTTAGCAGCACAGTGAAGGGAACAACACATCTCACAGGAGGCTACCATCACAAGTTCAGAGACAGAAGTCAGGGACCCATCTGGCTTACCTTAACACAAGGTAAATGTTAAGGCAAGACAGAGACTCCAAATATGCCACAAATATGAACAACTTAACTACAGGGCAACACTTTCTTACTTTGCTGCCGTTCCATTTAATTCAGCACAAGGTTTTAAGCGATGTTACGCTGCTCAGGCTTCTGTGTATGCACACAAGAGCAGGTCAGAGCTACTGCACGTCTGTACAATGCCCGACGTGCTCCAGAGCCTCAGACGGCCCACATCTCTGCTCTTGTCAAAGCAAATGAGCACAGCTGTTGGACACATTTCAGCCACCACAGCCCTCCACGTGCCTCCAGGTGCACATGCTCAGCCAGCATCCTTCGCGACCTGCATCTTCTCCCTGCTGCTCTGCTACATCAAGCCCTGCTAGGTTAATATGAGCAACGTACATGCGTTCCAGTATCTTAAACTATGAGTGCTTTGGGTTTACCTTTTCACTGGGTTCAGTATAACAAAATATTGTGGGCACAGCATTTTCTTTCAGAAGCTTGTTGTTGCATTCCCTTTTAAAGCAATCGGGAGTAAAGTGTTCTGAACAAATGCTGCTATACTTGGTTGGCTTGAAGTTTTTCCTTTTAACAGCAGCTTCCCATTTCTTGCAAAGATCAGGTCTTGTAAGAGGGAACCTGTAAATAAGACGTACTTTCAGCTTTTCCGGAAAGCTTTTTAACACGGGGTCGGGTCACAGCGAAGCACTGCTGTGCCTGACTGCCTGATCGCTCGGTTTTTCCTCTGACTGGCTCATCTTCGGAGCCAAACCCCTCCTGCCTTCCAACCCAGACGGCGCACACGCACCGGGCCGGGGATCTCAGCCCTCTGAAACCCCGGCGGGG